CCTACGATCCCCGTTGGGGAGGGGAACCTTTACCAGCGTTGTCCTTCACCTTGACTTGCACGATGAGCTACGCAAATCGTGTCAAGATCAAGCCAAACAATGGTACCGTTGATGATTCAACGAAGATTGCTCTTGCAACTGTTGTTAAAGGAACACTGAAAGTTAAATTAAAACACCATTTTGTCTCTGAAAGAAGCATTCATTGTTGTGTGTCACGTGATGCTGAAGCAGGAAGCTACTCACTACAGATCCACCACTACACTTACTGCTAAAGGGGTTTTTACTGTTTTTTCATCTCCTCCCCTCAAGGCCAGGAAATCAGTATTCCTTAAAAAACTAGAAAAGATTCTGACGTCTCAATCCCCTGCAGAACTCAAGACATCCATCGAGACGCAAAATACTTGGGCTACTGTTGACAGCATCACAAAAATCCCGAATGCACGTCCATGCTCAAGGTCACCTTCACTGACGTTAACATGGCTGCCACTGCTCTGAACGAAGGTCTTGCTGTTTATTACTACTTCATCAGTCCCAAATTACATCGAAGCAGAAAGATATCAGTACATCCAACACTGCTGGAAAATGTTATTCTTACCATCACACCACCAAAGCATGTCCTGTTAAAAGAGAAGAAGTTCTGCACTACATGTGGAGTGGGGGACACACCTTCATTCCTGCACCATTGCTATCCACCACAACCACGTGCTTAAACTGTAAAAGTAACGACCACCTACACTGGCAGCAAAATGTCCTACACGTAAGGATATTGTGAAGAAACCAGAAGCAGCAAAGAAAAAACCTACTAGCCAACACACCAACGTATGCAGCAATTGCAAGATCCAAGCTAATACTACGAAATTACTTCAGCTACTACTCAGCCAGCCTCCACCATTATCACTCCTCCAGCTTGTGACGTAACCAAGATCCACTACTGTTACTATAGCTCACATGCAGAATATGGCTGTTACCTGGATCTTTTAACTCTACCATCAACGAGTTATTTGCACTAAATAATATGCCATCATTTATATTCCCAGCATCTCCACCTTCGGAAGAAAAAATACTCAAATTTACCAAGGATCTAATCAAACTTCTGCATCAGCAGCTCCAAACCCCCAACACCTAGTGACGTCACTCCAACAAGGCCTCCCATTCGTCGATCGCCTCCTGCTCGTCGATTGGCTCGTCGTGGCGGCGTACCTCCTTCACCTCCACCCACCATACTCATATGGACCAATCAGAAGCCACGATTCTCCCACAGTCTTCTACACACTCTCTAGCGGAGACACCAACATTGAAAGAACCCTTCAATGCGGCAACCACCAACAAAAACCTCTCCAGCTATCTCTCGACGTATTAATATAGAAGACCAACATCAAGATCAATACCTGCACTGGAAAGATATAACTTTTTATACGACTCCTGACCAAGAACCTAACATGGATGTCGACACTTTGTACAAGAAAATAATCGACAGTAGAGTCAAGTTTACAAACCGTAAAGGACCCCACTGCCCCCATCACTACTCTCCAGATGCCCTTTGACCAGTTACTAGCCAACCCAGCATTTCGACCTAAGATACAAGACTACAGATCGTTTCCATCCAAAAACTGCACAACATAAGGAATGCCTCCTTCACGAAAGAAACGAAGTAACTCCAGACACACATATAAAAGACACCTGACCAATCAAGAAGCTGCCTCCCTTGACCACTCCTCCAGCTCCTGCCAGCCGCCAATCAACATCAAGATGCAGCAATTTTTCGTCCAGCAAGTTGCAGTCAGTGCCTGCAGAGCTCCTGTTGTATCTACATCGTCTTTTGTTATCGTTATTGTGGCTTAGCAGTTGGGTCTAGTCCTGACTCTTCTCTCTTCGACTCAAGACATTCCTCTCACCGTCTATTCTTCGCACTGTCCCCACTTGCCCCTCGCCCCTCGTGGGTACTTACCTGTGAGTCCTATCCTATCCTATCCATTGAAAAATAATACATATATAGCTGTCATATGAGGTACATATATATTATATAATTTGTTATATATTATATATAGTCGAAATAATAATGGAGTTGCCAGGTATAACTAGATTCATGAATACCTCTCTATTATATAATGTACACAGATTCCCCCCAAAAGATTTTTTTTTTAATAATGTGTATATTTAGTAGAATGTTTAAAAATAATGTATGGAAGGTTATGATATTAAGTAAATATTTATTGCTTGAAAAATATATGTAGATTGCCAGGTATAACTGGATTTACAAATAACTTTCTATTATATAACATTGTTTAAATATTGGATTTATTGGATTTTGTAAATATTAATAAAGGAAATATAATGTATAATATATATACACTTGTGTTGTTAGGTAGAAGTCTATATAAACATCACTTTTATTTTTATTTAATCTATATTTGAGTCATTTGTTGCTTGTTAATGTTTTACTGAGCGAATTTTATAATGGTTCGCCTCCAGGTAGACGGATATAAGAGTAAGTTAGGGACGTGTGTGAGGAACAAGGAAGAAATATGAAATTTATGGTTCCCCGTGGCCTAGTGGTTAAAGCTTTCGCTTCACACGGTGACGTTCGGGTTCGATTCCCGGTGAGGGTAGAAACATTGGATGTGTTTCTTTACACTGGTTGTCTATGTTCACCTGTCAGTATAATGGGTACCTGGGTGTTAGTCGACTGGTGTGGGTTGCATCCTGGGATAAAACTGACCTAATTAGCCTGAAATGCTCAGCATAACAAGGGACTTTCTATATAGTAGTATGTCAGTGATGTCAGCTATGGTCTATATACCTTGTATATGTACCTGTAGAAATAAAAATATTATATTCAAATTATTAAATTCCTAACACGGACCAGCAGGTTTGAAACCATATCTGTCCGGATAATTTTCTTAACATTTGCTTAACATTTTTCTTAACATTTACTATCCCATGTTATATAAATATATTATATATATATATATATATATATATATATATAATATATATATATATATATATATATATATATATTATATATAAAATTATAAAATACAGTAATATAAGGTTACGGTATGAGTCAAAAAGGGTGTAAACTGAAGTGTATGAGAAGTAAATGAATAGATAGATTCAACAATTTATATTATTTTTATTGGTTTGATAAAGTTCCTGGAGAACCAGACGGCCATAATAAATCATTAGTTGCTCCTGTCCTCTTTTCCAGATATATATATATTATATATATAATTCTACTACCATTATTACATGTTACGTCATGTTGGGGGCCAGGAGCTGTGTCTCAGTTGAAACTTATTTTTTAACACTTATATGCCTACTAGTGAAGACCTAAATTATTTTTTTATGAGCGAAACATATAATTTGGTAATTCTAACCTCTCTTATATTATCCTGACTCCAAATGACTTTGAAAAAGGCGATAAATGACATGTCCATGAACTCTGCCTCAGGACCACGCTATGGAACTCTGTGCTCATCAGGAACTGCAAGAAACCACTAACATGTGCTTTTAACATCCTATGGAGAAGGAGCATGGACACAGAGATCGTCCCACAGCTGCTAAAACAATAGATATAGCCCCATTCCACAAAGGGGCTGTAAAGTAATAGCAAAGAACTGGAGACAGATAGTGCTAACATTCCATATCATAAAAATCTTTGAAAGGGTTCTAAGATGCAAAATCGCCATTGATCTAGATACCCATCAGTTACACAACCAAGGTCAATATGGGTTTAGAGCAGGTCGCTCCTGCGTGTCCCAACTACTGGACCACTATGACAAGGTCCTGGATGCTCTAGAAGACAAACAAAACGCAGATATAGTATACACAGGCTTTGCAAAAGCCTTTGACAAGTGTGACCATGATGTAATAGCGCATAAAATGCGTCATAAAGGAATAACAGGGAAAGTTGGTAGATGCATCTATAATTTTCTAACAAATAGAACACAGAGTAGTAGTAAACAGAGTAAAGTCTGAGGGCTACTGTGAAAAAGCTCTATTCCACGAGGCACAATACTCGCTTCCAAACTAATGTAAAAGACCTTGGAATGATAATGTCAGAGAATCTCACTTTCAAGGACTACAACACTATCAATTTCATCTGCTAGAAAAATGACAGGATGGATAACGAGATCCTTCAAAACTAGAGATGCCAAGCCCATGACACTTCAGGTCGCTTGTTGTAAGCTGGAATATTGATGCACACTAACACTACCCATCAAAGCAGGTGAAACTGCTGACCTAGAAAAAAACAGAGAACCTTTACATTGTAAATTAACTTAATATCTGCCAAATTTTAACTCTTCTCAAAATAAGTCAAGCATCTTCTTGTGTTACTACATAATGATTGATAATTCATGTTCTCATATTATTGTAGTCATTAAATAATGAACATATTAAAGAAATAAATTTATTAAGAATAGTAAAAGCGTATTAGGAGTAGAAATATATATATATATTTTTTAGCGTAATTATTTCCTAGTGTGTGAGGAACAGATAGAGAGTAGGATGAGAGCGTCTTGCTTGTCTCTCCTGCTGCCTATCATCTATCTAAATTGAACAGCTATACCAAAGAAATCATAAGTTCCTCAGCAGATAGCTGTGGCATAGATTCATTTTTTCTCTTCAGTTTGCCTCTCCTCCGTCGAATACGAACTTTTTTATACCATCTTATAGCACCTAAGAAACTATGCGCGTGCATCAACAGTTCATTTAGCCACACCAACGATAACATGGAGTGAGAATAATTAACACGAAGCTGTAACGTAAGAGTTACAATGAATATCTTGTACAGTGACCAAGAATATAGTGCAGTTCATCATGCTTAAACAGAAAATTTACAGCAAGTAAATTAATTTATTTAACAACAGAATTAGCACAATTTATGTAATTTAAATGCAAGAAATAATAGGAATAATGGTAGGAGGTTTTTTCTATAAAACAGTTTGATGGGAAATTTGAAGGGAGGAACACTATCATTTGAATTTTTTAGTGTCTTTTCTTTAAATTTAAAAAATACGCGTTAACGCTTACGGTTCGAACCAATGAACTCCGACGAGGGAGACGTGAGTGTATGTACCCGACTTTATTGTCGGGGATAAAAACCAGTAAAAAGGTCTTTGTACGTCATCTTCCAGTTGAGAATCTTCTCAGCTGAAGAGAACCTCGATTGGAGGATGAAATATACAATCCTGTTATGGTCTCGTATGCTAAATATATTTTCGCTAAGTGTTCATTACACAAAAAAATATGCTAACAAGGAAAAATTAAGCATGATGAGGGCTTGCCAGGAATATTTTGTATAATGGGGGAATCATCTCTCTCAAAAAATTAGAAGTGCTAAGCCCTTGGGGGTTATTCAGGACTGGCGGACGCTCGGTCTTCAGACAGCTAAGTTCGAGACAAACAACTTTTCTAGTTATATCACAAAAGGAAAACTGTTTTGGCAAAGAAAATTATTTTTGACAAGGAAAAATTCTTTAGAAGTATTTGAGTCAAAGCGTTGTTTCCGCTTTTACTTTATCCAAAGATCTCCTAAAAAATTTTAGCCCGTGTTTATGTTTATATACTTTTTTACTTCAGACCCTCCTATTTTGAAAAATCATTTTATAAGTCTCTGACCACTGTATTACACTAAGTCGTTCTGATTACTGTTAACAGTGTCTTAATGAACCATTCCCTCCTAATTTTGGATTACCAAATTTGAGAGGGAAGGCTGTGAGGGCGTGGAAGAGAACGAAGAAGGGTGAGAGGAAGGGCAATAAAGAGGAAGAGAAGAGAATCGAAGGGAGAGCAGGAAAAAAATCTTCATGGAAGATCAAGCTAAAATGTAAATCCAGTAGACAAAATTGAAAGCAGTGAAGTAACATGGGATCAATAACAGCGCTTGTATGAAGAGTTTATCAGAGAGTCTCTTGTTCCTCTCCACTGTTGTCTCGCCATCCAAGGGGCGAAACCAACTGGGCTTAGCAGTGGCAGCTACCCTACCAGGAAGCGACATCCCGTGGGTCACCCCGTGGGTCACCGTCTCTCTTTTGGTATCCACACTAAGGGAAGTTATCTTGGTGGGGTGAGGCGATGTATTGGAGGAGGAGCCGACGAGCTTGCCTTCGTAAGCCATATCAATTACGATATGGAAGACGATGACAAAGAAGATTAGAGAGATGCTGAAGAGAAGCCACACGTCCACCATCTTGAAGTAAGACGTTTTGGGCAGGGATGTAGATGTCTAGAACAGGACATTAAGAATCAGGCAATATATCAATAAATTTCAAGAAATGTTATATAAAATTAACTGTAGGTAAATGCATCAAGAATACAGGCAACCGCATCAACAAAGCTGGTGACAGAACAAACACAGAATCTAAGGGATCGAAATACCGTACTGTTTATAATAATAAAGAAAATACGCTACAAAACAAGCGTATATATTTGCACTTTTCGGTCTTTAAACACTTGTTATAGCTTAAACAGTGAAAAATCTCAATAAATTTGCATTTTTGCAGCTTGTGTCTTTTCATGACAAAATTAGAGACTTTAAACAATTGAACTCCGTACACATACACATGGGAGCCAAAGCAGTTCACAGAGGGGAAAAAAAAACCAGCGTTTGGATAGATGACTAAAAAGAAGAAAATTTGACTAATGTATATAAAATAACTTCCGGAACTGTTTAAGGGATAGCACTTAATTTCCTACATTTTCTGATAATACAAACTACTCATTATCACCCTCGGTTATTCTAGGACTTAGAAGAGGTGAAGGTGATACTAGCTAACTTGAACATTTAATTTCATAGACCATTTTACAGAAATGTGCAGGATTTCCTGCATTTAAATAATAATTTGTAACTCTAGCGATACAAGTGTATAGAGATACTCTAAATATTGTGTCAGCTGTATGAACTGTAATGTTTATGGTGACATTGTTCATTCTGGATAAGTGTCGCTGACCAATAAATTCGCCTTTCTGGGCAAAATCTAAATAATCTACTTATTATCTCATAATACAGTAAAGTGTAGATATTATTATTATTGTTATTATTATAATAAAAAAGAAGCGCTAAGCCACAAGGGCTATACAGCGCTGCAAAAAGTGTAGATTAAAAAAAAAAAAAAAAAAAAAAAAAAAAAGGATACGCCTCGTCCAAAAGAGGAACCTATACTTTCCTTCCTTGAATCGTATCTCATTGTCTCCAATTTCCAGGGTGGGTTTAGAACCTTCATTTTGTGGGTTTAGAACCTTCATTTTGTGGGTTTAGAACCTTCATTTTGTGGGTTTAGAACCTTCATTTTGTGGGTTTAGAACCTTCATTTTGTGGGTTTAGAACCTTCATTTTGTATTCCTGAAAGGTATTGAGGGCTGTTCTTGTGTCTTCAGAAGATTGTGTGCAGAGCCAACATCAACACTAATGGTGGTTGCCATATATAATCTGAACTGTTTGACAATAACAGGTTTAGTACTAATTTTAGAAAAATAATAATATGTGCTCAATACTTTCCAAAGGATCTATAGAAAATTTTCAATTCATGCATACCTGAAAGGGGAGTATACTAGGAGAGGGCTTCGGGGGTCAACGCCCCTGCGGCCCGGTTCGTGACCAGGCTTCATGCATTTTTAAATCTTAATCGAAAGGGAAACTGCACTCAACTTCGGGATGAAACAACATTTTCATTTTCAATGAAGTACCATACATTTTTTTTAATCACAAATATCAGCAACGATCATAGTTAAAAATGCTAATAATATTCTATATCTGAAATTATAAAAGTGATTTAGGTGATCAAAAATTGCACTGATGATCATATCTGGACAAAACGTGGTCGGTCATATATTTTCGAACGGAAGTTTAAATAAAATAAACGTTTCGACTTAGAGGGTATACATAAAATAACTTTCGACACTCTAGAAATACATGGAAAATTATTGTTATTATTTTGTGAGGCGCTAATTTCTTATGGGTCATTCAGCATAAGGAATGGTGAAGGTTCGATCTTCCGTTTGCTGATATCGAGACAGTTACGCTCCCTAGCTGAACTTACATAGGTAGCATTTTAGAACGTCTTAAACAAGACAATAAGGAGTACCATGGATCACCCCATGTTTCGCAAACACAAGACATGAATTGCACCAGTCTCTTATGACCAGGGTCTTCTGAGAAATAGGATTTTCAGGCACGTTTGTCACCAGGCTCTGCCGTCTTTAGGATTTTTGTCACCAGGCTCTGCCATCTTCAGGATTTTCTTGGAATTCCTCACTGGAGTGAATAGGAGACAGGATAGTTCTAATCTTAGTGAAGATGGACACAGTTTTAATTTCCTGAGTGAATAGTTACACCAAAGGTTCTAATTACCTGAGTGAAGAGAGACGCCAGCACTAGCAGGACAGTCAGCGCCGACGCCACTCTTGTCTCGAAGTCATCCCTCCGGAAAATGAGGGAAAGGTACGCCAGAATGAGAAGGATGACGGTGGGGACGTAGATAGAGATGATTGGGTATCCTATTCTTCGCTGCAACACCACCTCCACTAAAGCCTTGGCCATTGTCTGGTTGTTGTCCAGTTGTAGGACCACACTCACTACCTGAAGGAGGGTGATGTGGTTAGTGGTGGTGTCTAAAGAGGGTAATAGGTACTGTTAGTCTCTTCAAGGGAATCTGTTGATGCTGGTAAAGGGTTCTCAAATAAAAAAATGGAGCTACCTTGTGCCTTCCTGATTACCCTCTATTCAACACTATCTATATAACACAGGATTTACCGTTTAAACGTGTTTAAAATATTTTTTTGGGTTGTGACTGATCATTGGTAGTGTAGATAAATGATTCAGAGAACAGACAAGTTGATAAATAAGACATGTGCAACATTTGGGTATCTTTAATAGGGAAACGTTTCGCCACACAGTGGCTTCAGTCCGTACAAAGGAAAACAGTGAAGAACAGGAGGAGTTTGAGATCTTTTCAAGATTAATGGACTGACCACATCGACTCAAGGCTGAGGGACTGATTACCTCATACTCCTCCTGTTCTTCACCATTCTCCTTAAAGATACCAAAGTGTTGCACATGTATCTAATTTATCATCACTGGTAGTATCAGTGGGTCTTTATGTGTGTAGTCACTATGGCTGTAGGTAGTTATTTTTATCAACATCAACTGAATTATATTTTACCCAGCATTTAAATAATTCCAGCATGTACTGATGTTTCCTTACACCGGACCGGAGTGTTTTTTTTTTTTCATAGTAAATGACATTCCAGCAATACTGAAATTTCCTAACACATTTTTTTCCCCGATGCTTCCCACAGCAGTTGGCTAACATACAGGAGCAGCAGGCGTGTAAGTTAATATGTCCATATACTTCTCCATGATAGGGAATAGACACCTAGACCATGACAAATGCCTTTGACAAATAGTAAGATACAGACACACACACAAAGGCTAAATGTCTCTCGGCATCAGCCTTTGACAACCGCTAACAAACTTCTCACCGTGTACTCAATAAGCAGCTCGGCTCCGACATACACAACCACTGAAGTGCTCTTCTCCAGCACCAGGAAGTCGGTAGCGGCGGAGAGCGCCTCAAAATGCATGAAGCAGCGCTGCTCGTCGAAAGGGTACAGATGTAGGTTGAGGTCGCACAGGAACTGAGATGTATATTTACGTTCCATACTCAGCGGGTTCTCGAACCCCAAGTACACGTTCACTGCTCCAGGCAAGGTTAGAGAGAAATCATAAAATAAAGGAGAGGGATTATTATTTGCATTCACGAGGAGGTGGGCGATTCAGAGCCTGGTGGAGTAGAAGCCAATTAGGATAGATTCAAGGAAATGGAGGATGCTTTGGATCAAGGGTGACACACCGGCCTTGTACACCTTGAGGGAGAGTATAAGGAGAAGAAACAAGTGAAGGGAGGATAAAAAGAGGAAAGAGTGAAAGAAAAATTGGGAAAGGAAACTGAAGGTAAAGGGAGGAGAGGTAGAGAAAGCAAATTAAGTACGCTCACACCTTGAGTATGCTCCACTTTCTTGGTTTGCCTGTCCCCTCCCTCTCATCTGCGACTGCTTAACAGAGTAGAGAATAGAGCAAGACGTCTCATCTCTCGCCTGGACCAATCCTGGATAGATCTGTCATTTCAGCAGAGCCTTCAACACAGGAAGGATGTGTGTGGCCTTACTGTTATGTACAAGGCCAATATTGTCAAAGTACCACACTTGGATCCACTTCGAGGACAGCGTGAAACAAGCTTTTATGCCACAAGACGGGCAGAAAGCAGCAACTTCACTCTGGCTGTACCCTTCTCCAGAACATCACTCCATCTGAGATCATATATACCCAGCATGACTCGAGTATGGAACACATTCGTACAACATTATGATATCAACGAGATAAAGTCATTTGATCAAATGAAAATGCTGGCCCACAGATGGCTCCAACTTCATCCTGTTCCCTACTTGTATGTCTCATAACAATAAAAATGCTTTTAAATGAGCTGATGTAGATAACAGCTCTTAGCTTGCCAATAAAGTTAGGAATCCTTAACCTGTAAATAGCTTGTCAATAAAGCTAGGGATCCTTAACCTTGTCAAACCCTGTGTAAAAAAAAAAGGATAAGGATGAGAGAAAGTGAGAAAGACAGGAACAAGGAGCAAAAGGAAAGGGAGAGGAGAAATAAGGAAAAGTGCATCTTGTTATATGCGTTTTTAAAACTTTAGAATTACAATTATTATTATTATTATTAGAAATACCATTATTATTACTTTTCATTTATCACTTCTCTCCCTACTACACTCACAAGTTAGCCCCATCATTACCCCACGCTTCTTTCCTTCCCCTATGTCTCTCTCTTACCGTCCTCAGGCACGGATAAGTCATCAGCTAGAGGGTGTCCCTGGCGGTGAACGGTGATGACAGCCTCGTCGTCCATTAGCGTCCTCTCAGTCCCTCGCACGTTGACCAACGTTAAAGATGGCGTCCATAACCTCCCATGCTCCGTCACCGGAACCTGCCCCCCCCCCAAAAAAAAAGTGAGATTGAAATCAAATATAAAATTTAGCAAGGAATAATATTTTTACAGTTTTGTACTGCAGCAACAAATTTTCAGACAAAAACTGGTTCCCCAAGTCTACTACTACAGAAATCATGCTAAAATTTTTTTTAATTTCGATTGACCCATTTGCACTTGTAAAGAAGAAGCATTTAAGGAAGTGACTGACTATTGGACATAAAATGATGAATCTGTAACCTTTAGTAATCTTGCACAGAAGAGAAATTCCGCGATGATAACACCCACAGTATCAAATATAGAAAGACAATGATCAAAGATCACTTCCAGAACTCATCGTCATTAATAACATTATTAGGAAAGACCATGTGTCAACTCTCGGGAATACAGCAAGAATAATTCTAATTATTTTACGAAGGAGCTCGGTTGACTCGGGGGAGAGAAAAAAAATCTGAAAAAAAAAAAAGTTCAACGCTTGTTGGTACTAATATTAGTGCATGGACGCTTCAATAGACTATGTGCGTCACACCTGACAATATTTCGTATTCGAAAGAAAACGTGATGCTCCTACCACAAAGTTTTGCATCTCGTTTTAAGAGCAGTCTTCAGTGCAAAAATATCCGTAAACATTGCATCAGTGGGCCAGGACATTGTTCAAGCTCCTCGAACTATAGTACTGTTTCAGGTTTATCTGATTCAGCATATTCCATGGAACGGGAACAATAGTTATAGTGACGCCTGGAACTAAACAACAGACGTAAGTAGCGTGACACGGAATATTGCTTTGTTTTCATGCTGACTTCAGTTCATTCAATCTGTTCCTAAAGTCAGACAAAAAATAAAAATGACACAAAAAGAATCAGAAAATCTGAAATATTCATTGACTACAGAGAACTACCGGCGACGTGCAACTTCTGAGGTATGTGCAGGTTATGGCTGTGACACAATCATGTTTGGAACTGGGAAAGGCGTTGCTTTAATGAAGCTGCTTAATTATAATAATTATACCTTCTAGAAATACTCATTTCTAGAGGGTATAATTATTCTGTAGAGCAGCAGTTACAAATGAGCTCACTGTTACTGGAGAAGAGCTTATCTGCTTGTCACTCCAAGTGAAGGATTCTCCGCAGTACATTACCCACGATTTCTGCGCAGGTTTACCTTTTAACACAAACAGCTGCAGGAACACAGTATTACAGTTCACATGTTTATTTCCAAGCTGAACAGTGGATGGACATGCTCTTTGTTATAGGCTTATGAAAAGTATTGGTCAATGCTCGACTTTACCCACTGATTTACAGCTAGCATCAGATGTTCTAATGAAGCGACATACCTTCAGTAAACAGTCTGGAATGCTCAGTACTGAGCGCAAATTAATCCTTTGTATGAACAACATAGGCGAGCTGTGAAATGTTGTGTGTAACAAAGAAGTTTCTTTTTGAAACATTTCTTTCTATTGCAAACTAAGTTAACTGTTATTCACTGTCAGAATGTTCATGATTCCATCATTTGCTATTATGTCCACCAATAGCACAGAACGAGACAAATATTTCACCCTCTCTTTCCCCCACATATAAATTAATCGCGTTTTTCTTTTTTATTTTAAAAATACAGTTTGCACCTAATCATTTTTGTGAGTAGGATTTCTTAGAATGTGCACTAAAATTTATATGAAACAAAATTTTAGTCACAGAAGCAAATCGAATAAATATATAAGCAATATTATACATTTAACGTTCGTTTTACGTACGTTACGCCAATTCCTTTTCTCTCCATTTTGGATATAATGTTCGTAAGTTAATCATCCGGGTAACATGGAAACAAAAAGTCACAATATCGTGACGGCTTAGCAGTTTTCTGTCTTTCAGTTTTATTGACCCATGTGTTTTTGATCTCATCCTTGTGGGTCATTAGCTCTCCCGAAGTGCCTCTGTTTCTTGTCCTTAGACTTACTGCTTCATTACTATTACGTTACTACTACCAGTGCTCCCTTCACTCCCCTTTCTGTCCCCTGTGCCACTTCCACTACACCCCGTACTTACTACTACCATTACTACTACTACTACTACTACCACTACCACCATTACCTCTACCACTGCTTCTCCACTTTCTATATTTCTTCCCATCTTGGTCCCGTCCCTGTCCCCCCCTCACCTACGTATACGGGCTCCCTTACCTTCGTATGTAAGTGTGGCTTCTAAATGATCCAAGTCAGACCAAACTTCATCATAAGCTTCTTTCTCCTATGTGCGGGTTATTTGTGTATCGTAAAAGATAAATTCTGTTAACTGTTTGCTCTAGACTGACTCATTTTTTCTCTTCTTGACTGGTTTATGAACAAAAGCTCACGTACTCACCTGATTGAGACGTGAAGCATTTTTGAGATTATTGAAGCGGAGTCGTAGGTCCCACCAGGTGAGGTTGAGGTGGTAGGTGACCTCCAGGTAACTATCCCTGTCACTTAAGGATAAGCTTACCAGCTTTAATTTCAGACTCACAGGCAGGGGAGTCCCTGAAAAAGACTCGGTAAGTCAGTATGGTGAAGTCAGTAAGTTCTGTTGAGGGGGTCTGAAACCCCCGGGAAT